ATGATCTTTTCCATATAAATACATCTTCTATAATGCATATATAAATAAGGTGAAATACCAAAGGTTACTTCCTTCAATTATTATGTAGAGGTCGAACGAGAAGCAGGAGAAAATGTAAAAGATCACAGCACAAAATGGGATAGTGACTTAGATAACAGTCTCTTTACATCAGTGGGATCTGATCTTTTCCTGACCCAGAGCTTCTTTTCTTGCCTGGAGTCCTTTATGAGTGAGTGACATGGTGTTTCAGAACAGCATGGACTGAGGCAGAGAGCACAAGCGATCCTGTATATGTGTGAGTATCCAGCTGTGTGCGTGTGTGCGGGATGCGGCCAGTGTGGCCCACCCCATCCCCCTGCTGTGCCCATGCCCCTGATCCCCACTGCTTCTCAGCAGGCCTCCCTGTAGTCTCAGGAGAGGGACTGGACAGTAACAGAGATCCTGCCCCAGATCTACCAGGCCTGGAGATTAATCAGCTATGGACTGACCAGTGGGGAGCTCTTAGAGTTATTTTAACTGTCCTGACCACTGATTTAGGGCATTCACGGACTCCAATTAATCTCATTCATTTTGAAAAAGAAAAAAAAAAAAGCCAAGAGTGCTCATGTTGCTGAAATATTGGTATTCTGATCCCAATCAGGTTTTTCATTTCTAGGATGACTGGTGTAGTAAATTCCCTGGTTTTGAAATTACATTAAGTGCAGCCTTTTTGCTAGCTAGGTAGTGATATAAAATGCTTGTATGTTTTAAAGCTTGCTTTATTAATTTCTGGAGCTCTCATTATATCAGACTGTATTTTTATCAGAAATGTGATGGTAAAAAAAAAACGTGATGGTGCAGCCATTTGTAGTGGGTTTCTGAGAGTGCTATCAAAACCAGAGACACTTCTTCCATTGCTTCTACTTTTCTCTCTTTTAGTGAAGTTAATGAAAATACTTTGTGTGTAGCATGGGGTTACTCCTCCCCCATTTTGTCCTGAGTTAAGAACATACATGAAGTTGGTTGTAAAAGGAATAGAACGTTCCGTCTTTATTTACTCTGAGTTGATGTGAAAAGAGGCATGTTCATTGTAATTTGGCTATGGAGAATATCCCCAAATGACAGGTTCTTGGTTTTAAATTCAGATGCTGTAAAACCCTTGCTGTTATACACATTGTATAGATGCTCCCCAAACCACAAGGAATGCTATAAAATGTTTAACCTAGAGAGTATACGCTAAAACATACAAGAACATCCATCAGAAGTTGAAGGTCAAATTTTGGGATCAGAGTAGATGTGCGGCACTACCCTTGTCAATTAGCCCGTGGGTGTGCAGGTAATGTGCCTTTCTAGGAAAGAGGTGCTGTGCTTTCGAAATCTTTTCTGCCACATACATTTTGTCCTGAAACCCTTTTTCCAATGACATGGCAAATTGCCTCCTACTTCAATGCTGAGCACTGGAATTTAATTCATGTATACTCTATTTCTTTCAAAAGATTTGAGGGGCAACAATGAAGTTGAGGTTAAGATAAAAAAAGATGTTAGAATTCCATTCCTTCTACTTCTGTGACATTCGATCTACCAGGAAAATTTTCCTCGTCTGTAAAATGAGGGATCTGACTTGGACTGTCTGCCCTGTGAGGGAGGACTGCTTCCGTGAGCTAGTAAAGTCTGGAAAGCACTTAAGTTGTTCCGTGTTCAGTCTGTGAAGCACCACCGAAGGGCTAGGCACCTTGTGAGATTTCCATCAGCGGTGTTCAAGGACTCTGTGTTCTCGACAACTGAAGTGACCCACTACATCCCAGGAGCAGATTGGTGTTAAGTGTGGAACGACCTGAAACTTTGGAGTAGCCCGTAGTGCTCCAGGATGCCTGCCCCTTCTCAACTGCCCAGAGCAAGAGATCAAAGAAACCAGACACATTGTTTGGTTTTTAAATCAAAAGTTACGATTTTATTTTTAATTTTAATATACCAAGAAAAAATATTTCTTTGAATGTCGTGAAATAAGCACTTGAAAATAACAATTCCAACATTGCTGTGATTTGCTCTATGAGGCTTCTATGGGTGAACGTCTGACTATGGGCTCTGGGCCCTGGAAGAGGCTGAAGCTCCCAGTTTGTTTTCAAGTTAGCAGCAAGCAACCTCCGACCTGAACGTGCCCAGACAGTCAGATCTGTCTGAAAATGATGTGCCTGGGGACCACTATTAGGCTACTTCTGGAGAGTTTTTGATCCTTGCCCACTGAGAGAAGTCTCAAGTGCTGCCAAGCGTTGGGAAAATAGCAGTGTTTAAATACCAACGTGAGTCAGGACCCCGCAATCCTGGCCTAAATGGGTTGCAGTTATGGCTTGACCCTGACATATGGGACCAGTCTCTTTCATTTAACCAGTTGTTTCAGAAAAAGTTGACTAGAGTGTAGTTTGGGTTTGCAGTTCCACTTAAGTATACCTGACTGCAAGATTTTTGTCTGCCCAACAGGAGATCCAAATGCCCTTCTTAAGATATTCTCAAACCCACACGAGTGTGCTCCCATGGTCTCTTCTGTTGTTAGAACAACTTCTGTTCTGCTTTTTTCAAAGTATAATTCTGGAGGAAGGGAAGCCTGGGGATTTTTTTTCCCCTCCTCTGTGAGCCCTGAATTTTCAAAGTATCTGAGGACGAGAAGAATAATTCAACAGGCTTGTGAATATTCTTTGATATTCGGTGCAGGTGTTCTTAACTGGTTTCTTTAGCTATAGATTCTGCCACATGGCAGGAGGAGGTTTATAATCAGGAGTCTGTCACAACTGGCATTCAGAAAAATGCCCTGACACTTGTTTTACTTAAGTGTTGGGTACCAGCAGACAGAAGCTGTTGGTTTATCGAAAAACTGGGACCTAACACTTCATACTGATGGTTGGCACGAAAGAGCGAACCGTTGCTTTATTAGCTCTCACTTTAGTGTGTTATGTACTACAGGCCAAACCCTGTGGGCTGATAGCAAAATCTCTTCATGATGGTAATGGGTCTGGGGCCAAAGAATCAGACCTTGTATACAAAACAGAGAAAGACTTAAGACAGCTACAGGAGACAGTGGCTCACAACACAAACATAGGCTCTATCATCCTGAATTGATAGCAAAGTATCATTGGAAACAAAGACTGGACTGCTGGAAAGTTCTGGGCTTTCATCATGAAATTTTTACACAATTACACTCCGGGGATGGAAACTTTTTCAGGGAAGTAAGTGTCTAAAGGAGACAGGCATGGACCATCCACACACAACTTAGAGCGCTGAGCTCTGGGAGGCAAAATCTACTGGATCTTCTCTATTCTATTAACAGCTCTCTTGAATCAGCACGTGGCCAATCCAACAACTCTGAGGGGGAGAAGAAGTCCTCAGAATGTGCTGGAGCGGACAGCTGTACGACACATAGTCTCTGAGGGGAGGCTGTTTTATCAGGATAAAGAAAAGATAGTAACCTGAGCATGTTGTCTCTCCCAGGTAATTTAGCAGTCTGGGAACGAGGCCAGACTTCTCTGGAGCATTCTACTCCATGTAGTGGACTCCAGGTGCTTTGTTTCTTTGATGTGACAGGTTTTATCATAAAGATACCACATCTGATTTTTTTTTTTTAATTTCTGTAGATCTCTTTCCCAGAAGTGTTCTTCCATTCAGTTCTGCAAAACCCCGACTCAAATGCAGTTTCTGACTCAGTCCTGAGCTACATTAGCAGAGAGGTGAGGAAGTGAGAGGGATCTAATCAATCCTTCCTTTCCCCTGAAGCAAGATATATGTGTGTATTATCCCTCCCCCCTAATTTTTATTGTAGAGTGTGATTAGAAGGAGGAGAATAAATGATCTGGAATAAAAACCTCAATACATGATTTTAATTTGGCACTTTGGCCTAGCATGGATTTAAATAACGTTGTAGTTACTCTTTTTTCATTAGCAAAACTAGAAGGCCCAGATAAAACCTTTGGTTCTATGAATAGAGCATTTTTCATTAGAATGTTTTTCATTGCAAATTCCTAGACTTGGGTTGATACTCAGATCAAATTGCATGCACTTATATATATTTTTTTCAATCCAGAAATGTTTTCACCATAATGGGATTGAAATGCAGTAGAAAATCTCCAACAGAAAGATAATCTACTGCAGCATAGTGGGGGCAGTTCTAAAAACTTGCCTGCCCAAGTTTTTCTGGAATGTTAACTGACAGTAGGATTATCTATGTGGCAGTCAAGTCTCTGGTAGGATTGAGATTTGCCATGGGCTAGTGCTCCAGCCTCCTATCTTCATATAACTAATTAAGCAATTAAGCTGAGATGTTAAAAACACTGTATTAAACCTGTAATACCAGAATTTTTTAAAGTGTTTTTCTCTCCTCCCATGAGAAAGGTTGGAAAAGCCTTTAAATATATGTAGCCAATTTAAAAACTATTTATTAGACATTCAACTTGTAAACAAAAATTCTGAGTTCTCTCACAGATGAACATAAGTATGAATCTGTATCAAGATAAAAGTGCTTTGGAAGCATTATTTAGAGTCTATTTAAGGTCTATGCTCATTTCCTCTTATTCTAACCACATTAAAGGATCAATGATTAATCAATGGATTCAGTGATTAAATTAAATTAACCAGATAAGCTTGAACTGGTCCTTCAATTAAACTCAAGTCAGCTGTTATTTGGCCTTTTCCTCATTGGAATTATTCTGCTCATTTTCTTATATAAGAAAAAAAGCTTATTGCACAGTATCTGTCTTTTCAAAGCTCAAAAACATTATTTGCATCCTAAGAACCTAGTAGTTGGTATAGCAGTATTTATCTTTTTAGCTTGTGTCAGTTTTTGCCCTAATAATCACAACACATCCCTCCATCAATTGCTTCACATCTATGAACCAATGTCAAGACATCACAGACTGTCCAAAAAGTTTAACACGGATGTGACAATTTCCCATCCCTGCAAAGCCCCACCCCCACCCTGGGGTCTATCAGTCATGACCTGGTTTGCATGGATTCTTTGTTCATCGTTCAAACCATTCACACAGAATGGGATAAAACTTTATTCTTTTAAATTCCACACATAAACAAGATGCTGAGAAAGCCCTTGTCATCTCTGACAGAGAAGTGGAGCAGCTCTGTTTCATGAATGACAACACAATTAAAGCTAAAATAATATAAAAATAATCTGAAAAAAATCCCTTTTACTGTACACTCTCAAATAAAGCAAGAAAGATAAACAACGGTTTTCTTTTTCTGCTAGCCAGGAAATGTGTTCCTATTCATTTGGGCTTTGAAGTTGAGTGTACCCCACATCCGCGTGCATGTATGTGTGGTGATGCATATATAATCTATGCAGTGTAGCCGCTAATCGTTTCATCTAGTTTGTCTAATCATGAAGCTACTTAACCAATTAGAATACTAGCATATCACATTGAACAATTTTACATAATTGCTTCTTTGAAATACTAGGAATGTTTACACATTTATTTGGCTTGTAAAGGACTGTATTACAGATAATATTATATTATCTAGCTTTCTTTTCTTTCTTTCTTTTTTAAAGAATATGGCTCTTAATAAATTGATTTTCTGAGTTCCAGAGCAGAAGTCCCTTTTAAAAAAATTTCTGAAGCTGACTTGAAGCAAGAAGATCTTCTGATTTGGCCAAAAATATGATGAGTATTTTATATCATTTAAAATTTGAAGGATAAGTCTATAGGGGGCCCTTTGTTGTCAACTGTTCCAGCCAAACTTGCCATGAAGCGTTTGTTGAAGTATCTCCACTTGACCAGCAGAGGGCACTTTACACACCTCTGCATTGCTCGGGGAGCAAATGCAGATGATGCGGAAACACAGTGTTCACCCAATATCAGGAAGAGCCCTGCAGATTTCTTTTTGAGATTCACAAAAATATAGAAAATATGGACTGTACAACAGGGTTTCATTTGGGAAGTCATGAGTGTGTATGTGAAGACAAATAGAGAGGGGGTATACAGAGTGTGTCTGTCGGATTGATTGGCTCCCTTCTTTCCCCACTCTCCTTTTCCCAGCTCAAGAACAGTATGGGGCTGGTCCTTTTTACAGGTGGTACAGAATCCATTTTCAAATCATTTGGTTGAGTTTTAACTTTTCTATTTTGTATTTACTCTTCTGTTCAAAAGCCTGGGGCAACTGAACCAAGGAAAATTCTTTACAGCTCATTTCAGAGTAGAAATTACAGTGAAATTATCAGGAATGCTCTGAGCTGGAGCCACCCCTTTAGGACCTGGTCTGCACTGTTTCCATCCTCCCAGAGAGAACCCTGGAAAAATATCATGCCCGTTTGGTGCTGGCAAACTGGCTAGCCCGAGACTGTGTTAGGAAGGGAGAAAACACCAGTCCATCTCTTAGCTTTAATACAATTGTTTACATCCGTTTTCACGAGAGGTGATTAAGACGTCTTTTCTCACGAGGGGCTACAGCTACTAACCTCTCTTAAAAAGGCTTTAATTTTTGCAAAAGCATTATGGTTCTAGATATCCACCCTGTGTCTCTTCCATTTGGATCTGTTCTATTGGCTCCAGCTTAGTGTCAACAAAGATTAGAAAGGATTGTGTGGGTATGTGCTCGCACAGTTGCTTAGGCAAACTTCTTTCATTCTTAGAGAAATAGAACACTTAGTACATGTTTTCCCCATAGTGTTAATAGCTTTTGTTTACCTTCTAGTTCTTTCTCTCTGTGCCTCTGGTTCACTTTTGTTCTCCTTTGTCCTAGAGCTGACAGGTAAGGAGGGAATGGGGTTTCCCCAGCAGCAGTCCTTTGAGACGGAGGTGTCCTCAGTGAGTCCTCACCCAAAAAGGATCATAAAACTTACTGGGTTAAGTCAACCTTATTATCCCTAAGCTGCCTTGGGTTTTGTGTCTGCTCATGTGTTTTGTTTTGTTTTGTTTTAGCTGCACCATATGTGATTCCTTGTGCCATTTTCTTTTGTCTATTGTTTTTCTTGATGACCCTGAGCTATGGCTTCCTCCTCAGTTCCAACACTATTCAGCCTTCGTTGTTTTCCTCCTCTTGCCGATGTAGGCCTCAAAGAAGAAGTGACAGAAGAGCACAAGGTAGCTGAGGTACATGAGTGAGGACCAGAAGATGTTCTGAAAGTGAGAGTGACACTGGTCATGCTGCATCCAGTAGAAGACCAGGTAGTTAATGACACAGCCCATCAGCATCTGAGTGATCTGGGACAAGGTGATGAACATGGCAAACTTCCGGGAAACTCGGAAGCCTGCTGCTCGCAAGGCATAGTAAGAGTACATCACGGCGTGCACGCCGTAGTTCATGGTCATGAACCAACCACCCCCGGCTACCATGTCCTTGTAGGAGTACCAGGAGTACAGGAGCACAGTGATGTGGTGGTACCAGTGCAGGAAGATCAGCTTTTGCTTCCTCAGAATAATGAATATTGTATCTCCTGAAAGACAAAGAAGGGAAAAGACGTACGTGAGCCCCTCGGCCGTGACATAACGATAATTCATCTTTCCACGATGAGGTAGACAGCTTGAACTAGTCCTTGACAGTGAGATGGGCTGGCTTAGAATCCTGGACTGATGTCTACTCGCTCTGTGGGCTTGGGCAAGCTACTTATCCTCACTGTTTTCCAGTTTCCGTAAAATGGAGGGAACAACAGTAGCTTGGAATTGTCTGAAGACTAAGATAAGCAGTGTGCCATCTTGGCCCGTGGAAAAAACACAGTAGATGTGACTTTTAGAAAGATGGCTTTACACAAAATCTTATCGGTCTTTGATCTAGAAGGGACATTAGCAATCACGTTACCCGATTTCTAACTCGACAATAAGGTTTAGGAAATATTAGCTGGAAGACTCAAGTGACCTCTCTCAGATCATCCGTCAATAAAGAGAAACAGATTAGAATTCAAGTGCCCAGCAAAAGGTTCACAGGCCGCTCTAGAGTCTCTTTCTTTGGTATATGGTGAAAGCTACCCCTAAAAAACCTATCTGTGTGAGCGCCCTGTAAAAGGTGAAGCCTCGGCAGACACTTGGCAGTCAGAAAAGTGAAATTGAAACAAAAGGCAAAAATAGAAAAAGAGAAGAAAAGTCACCTTCTACCATATTTGCTGAAGATAGTAACCTGAGTATTTCATACCAATGAATCGAGTGATAAGAACTGAGAATGACACATTTTTGTGAAGTTAACTGTGAGAAAGCTTTCCAGAATCTTTATTAACAATGTCCTTTTGAAGAAAAAGACCACCATTTCTCAGGTAGGAAATTTATGTTATAGAAGCTAGAATTATGCTCAGGTAGGTAGATGCTATTTATATGTAATGAGTATCTAAAAAGCCTTAGGGATATAAAAAAATATACTGTAGAACACTTACGTACAAATGGATGAAGAAAAAGCAAAGTAACACATGTACACAATTCCATTAATGAGTATGAAAAAAGGAAGAGACATGGGGGACAAAATAGGACTTATGCTCCATTATCTTTGCTATCTCTGTGTTCTTCTCAGGTATGGGAAAACCCAATCTCCTTCAGGACCTTTGGTGAAATCACACTTAATTCGTTTCTGTACAACAAGGAGAGCTAGCAGGCCCCTCTTCTCATTCTGAAATCTAATTAAACACAAAGGGAATTAGTACTTATCCTTGTCTTATCCCTCATACTTCATGGATGCCCCAAAACATTTGGCACTAGGAAAGGTCAAGGAGTGCGAGGCCTCGGGAAGTGTTTTAAAGTTCTGATGGACATTGTTGGAATAACACAGGTGGTACCCCATTCCATTCAGCAGGAGCTATTTGTTTCTCTACTGAATCATTAAACATTATTACTTCATATTTGTTTAAAACAGAAAAGGAGAGCTACCACCAGCTGCTGCATTTCCAAACATGTTTGTTATAAAATTTCCTCTGAATTCCTTTTCCCCCTTGTGAGATGCCTGACATATTATGCCTATAAATGTCAGACAGACTGATCATGATTGATGGTGATAGTAACTCTGACTTGTGTACGTCAGGGACACAACTGGTATCAGGAGACCTTCTTAGTGTTCAACTGTGCTATTTTTGTGTGCCTGTCAAAGAGCCACCATTTCTGTGTAATTACTACTCTGTGCCTCCCTTTGCTCAGTAAACTATAATGTAGACACAATTATTTCAGCCTACTTTTGTTCACAGTGGAAAGAAGGTAGAAGTCCAAGGAATTACACGATATGAAACAAATTCAGTCATTCATAATTGAGAAGATATTTTTTATGAGCCTCTAAGCATGAATGAAATGTATAAGCCACACAATATCCACATGCATTGTATTAAGTTATCTGCTATAGAGAAATAAGTCTCTTATCCTTTCTAATTATTTAGATTTAATTTTACCTCAATCATCACCCTTACATTAAAACTTTATTGTCTAAAGAACAATTTGAGTGTGAGGAGAGTAATAGGGAACAAAAGACACACCTATTAGAATGGGCTAACCTGGAATGAAAAGTGTAACCTATAATGCTGGTATTGAAACTTGTATTGTGTTTTTCCTGTCGGCCTGAGTAGGCGGTCTCAGATCTCACGAAGAGGGGGCATGAATGAGACACATTAGGCCTTTCCATTTAATATGAGGGAGCTGGAGGTGAAGGACATGTCATGGCATCATTTTTTTTAAAGATTTATTATTTTGGGGGAAAGAGAAAGAGTAAGGGGGGGTAGGGGTAGAAGGAGAGGGAAAGAGAAACTCAAGCAGACTCATGCTGAGCACAGATACTGACATATGGTTTGATCTCACAACCCTGAGATCATTACCTGTGCTGAAACTAAGAGTTGGACACTTAATCAACTGAGCCACCTAGGGGCCCCGATGTTATAAGATCTTTAAAACATGAGATCTTTGAGTTCCTTTAAGAATTTTTTTCTGGAACAGACATATAGGATGGCAGGTGGAGTAATGAAGAGGAGTATTTTTCAATAATGGCCCTAGAGCCTTTCAGGACAACTATTCCAATGCCATATCAAGGTTACTGTCCCCAAGAAGGCTGTTGATGTAGGGAATAGTAGTTTCCACTGGGTAAGGGAAGGGGAGACTGGTGAGGTTCCAGAAGGGCCTCTTAAGACCTCCTATGTTGTTTTTGTTGTTTGTTGTTGTTTTTAATATTGCAGCTGAGATGCATCAGTCACACAACCCTGGAAGTTATACATTATTTTTCTTCTGGGGAAACTGCATAATATTGCACTTGATTTGTCATGAGCCAGTCATACCAAGATATGTATTTACAGGCCTGCCAAAAGCTACTAAACGACCTAGAAATGCAAACCAAAGATAGGGACTGTGTATTTGATGTTGGCCAACCAATCTTTCTTGGTCAAAGGTCTGGTTGGCATTATGGGAAGAATGTTGATCAACAATAAGCAGTGGGACTTTTGACTCTTGAACGATTCGGCCACGTCACGTATTTTAGTGACCGCTGGTTCATGTTTTCTTTACCCCGGTCTCTCTAACTTTTGATTCAGCCTTTTTCGGCCAAGAGCCAGTGGGCAGGGAGAACATGGTATTCGCAGTCCAAGTGTCCCTCTTAAACTATGTACCTCTAGTCCATGTCCCTGTTAAGTACAGATGTCTGTGCCACTTTGGAGAAGACAATCAGCATTTAGAAATCCCCAGGGCACTCACAGTAACCAAGAGGCGGGGGAACCCACTATGTGTGGTTTGTCATAGATGGCTGTGCCCCTCTTCGCAGAGTTAGCTGGAGCTCTGCTGAGTCAGAGTTTCAAAAACAATGACAAGCTCAACTGAGCAAGGACCTAGACTCAGAGCAGATGTTTCCAAGTATTAACAAAAGCAAATCTCAGCAGGTTTTAATATGATTCAAACAGTAGGCGCGCAAAGATTTTGGCACACAAAGCAGGTTGGTGGTTCTCTTCTCATTTGTTCTAATGGATCGTAACTCTATAATTCACTGAAATGAGCTCATTGTTTTCTGCTGAAACAGAAAGCCCTTCTTGCTATTAAAGAGTTCAGTGAAGGAGGAATGGTGATAGTGTTTTATGGGTAGTGTCAGTGGAGAAGATGAAAAAGTGCTAGAGAAGCATGATGGTGTGGATTGTGCAATAATGCAAGTGTTCTTAATAACACAATCCTGTACACTTAGAAATGGTAAACGTTATGTGTATTTTGTCTGCCCCCCCTCCCACAAAAAAGTATAGTGAAAACTACAGGCATGCAGATTTTGGTGGGAAAATAGAGTTTTGGTATTGAACACAGAACAACTATTCCTTCTCACGAGAACCTTCTCTTTCTGCTGTACAGAAGGGAGTCTAGAATCTTAGAGTATTATAAAACAGAACTTAGGACCTAAAAATAAGAAAAGTTCTCAATAATCCAAGTGGGTAGATCTTTCTTAATTAAATAGTAGCAGCAATGTCTTCTAGGAGTGAAAAGACTGAAAAGGGATTTAACTTCCAAAATGAACAAAAAGGCATCCAAGAAAATGTGTTCGCTAAGTTAGGGCTAGGGGCTGGTTATCTCTGAAGCACTCAAATGGCCTTGATTTTTGGATCTATTTTGATTCAGCGGTTTAGTTTGGGAATGCCATTGTCAATAAGCTCCAGAATACTTGAAAGAAAATAGGCATATCTTAAAATTGAAGAAAGGGTACTCTGACCATGAAAATACCTCTAAAATGAATCTGAAACCACATAAAGAATATCACTAGCTTCATTAAAGAACTAGATCAAGTTTAGGATTTTATTTTTTTTCCAACTCTTTAGCTCATTGTCAACATTTCAATCCTTTCATTTTAACGGTGAAGAAATGGATTGTTTGATATCCAACCTACAAACCACTATGGTGAGTGAGGCTTCTTAGGGAAAGGGATTATCAGAATAATGGCACAAGGGACCACAGAACAGTTCCTTCTGGGCTCAAGAGGGAATAGAATTGTGTTCAACTATAATAACATTGGGGCAGAAAGGAGTGGCATGTCTGGATCTTGATTAAATTAAGACGGGTGATTAATTAGCAGGATCCAGACCAACACTCTAACAAGACAGAGGACAACAGCCCAAGTATCTCTAAGGGTTTCACTAATGGCTTATATCTGGAAATCCTAACTCTGTCCGCCATCCTAAAACTTTGATGTCAATCTGGAACAGAAGATAGGACAGACAGTACAGGTCTACTCATGTCTTTGAAGAAAAATGACCACTATGAATAGGTTGAGGTGGCTCTTCAAAAAATCATTCTAAAGGTAAAAGGGATTATTTTAGTTTCAAGTCCCTCAAATACAACTGGATGAAATTCAGAGCACAGACAAGCAGCCTTTGCAAGGAAAAGGATTTCTAGAAGCAAAGAATGAGAGGTTCCTCTTTTGCGATTTAAGGTGTTAAGGGCCAAAAGCAGAGAGGCACCATTGCTAATTTTTTTCAAAACTGTTGACAGTAGTAACGTAGAAATTGTGAAAGTGTTCAGTGGCGGCCTGTAGGGGGAGTCACATGTTTCATGCCTTTATTGTATTCATGCATCTGTAGTCAGTACTGTATCAAAAAAGATGAGGAGTATAATAAAGATACTTATTATACAGCAAAAATTAAAAGTCAGAGAGAGGTGATATTTCTCATAGTGAATAATTCTCAAACATTAATAATGCATGAATTTTAAAGAAAATGTCATAAAACCCCAATAGAATACATGAGAATACATGCTCACATTCTCAGACCAACAGTTTGAGAAAAAGTAATCTGATTCAGAAACGCTATGAATCTAAAGAATCATTATGAAAGAAATATATCTGGCAAGACTATCTTTTGTTCCATCTATAAATGAAAACACAGAATTTAAATGTTCCCATAGAATTCTGAAATTCCTAAAAACACATCTGTCTTAGGCACTGTCTGTAGCTCCAAGTTTAAAAAACATTTTTCTAGCCTAAAATTTGGCAGCTTGTGCTCTCAATTCAAATAGGAAAAATAGCCTCCTGGGGCCTGGCTCATACAATTCATATCCTAAATTTTTTTTAGAGGAATTAGACATTCCATCCTAGCCCCTATTAAATGCCTATTGTAGGGGTTTAAATATGTTAAGTGAATGAATGACTACATCCTTACAAATGCATTTCAATCTAAGTCTGCTTTCATGGGCTGTGTGTGTGCACACGTGCACACACAACAGTGATCTAGTTATTTTGGACTGTAGAGGAACCATTTCCATACCCTTGCTCCTCTTAGCAAAGGTTTTCCGAAGTCTTCCTCTGCTGCTCTTCCCTTGACTTTGACTTGGGAAAACAATGGTCAAACCAACTGCCTGCTCTTTGTAGGCAGCAGGTGTACAGCAGCTGGTAGAAAGTGGATAGGTTGCCAACCTACATATCGGAGAAATGTCATATCCTTTGTGAACTGACACAGGACATGAACTAAAGATACCTTATAAAGAAAGACTGTGGATAGTTTGTATTGTATGTGGCTTATAAGGAAAGTACAACCTCTAACCCCCTTTTTAGGAGAAAGAGGAGAGGGAACACAATCTATAAGTCTTTTGAACTAAATAATACAATTCTTAATTCCCAATAAAAAATTTAAAAACTCAGAGAATCAATAGGTGTTCCCTAAGGATATATACGAGTTTGTGAGATGCCGGCCAGTACTGCTCATGAATGAACCCAGAGTTTATGATCACCAGCAGATCCCTTTCTCCAGCAGTAAAGATGTTTTCCTGGTGAACCACATTCATATCACATCCCTGCCACTAATTTGCCACTGTTTGCATGAACCTGAACCACACTCATATTCAAAACCATTAAAGGGCTAAAGGAAAAACCTTAGGAATCTATGTACATAGCCAGGATTTTTTATTCAGTTCTAGAAGGAGAGCCATACTCCTCTTCTCCAAGGCCCATCTCTTCGATGATTCAAATCAAACAACACCAGAAACCAGCCCTTAGCATTTGTTAATTAGAACATGAGGACACCCAAACGGAAAGCCTAGTCTCCTGGTCTGAATCCTAAGGCTGGGGTGAAAGACTGTTTCCACGTGGGACTGGGAGAGAGCTGCATTGCGAATGAATTCTCCTCCATATTCTCATTTTAGCACAGCCGTTGGTGTGCCGGACAGAAGGGACTGTGTAGATTATATATGCCCCTGGAAGGGTATTTTCAGTAGTGCCTGGATGTCCACACGCTTCTGTAAACTATTTTGCTCTTTATATACACGATGTACAACTGTCAAGACGGAGAGGAGGAGAGGAGAGAAAAAGACTGTGAAAAAGTTAATCAAGCACTGAAATTCATTAATTATAACTTTCCTGCAACCAACAACACGGGACCTTCAAATTGTTTCTTTGTTCCTTTCAAAATAAATACCATGGGTGTGTAGCAACCAAGGGGGGCAGGGGGTGGAAACGGAAGGAGAGAAGACACTCACCTAGTTCGGGTGCTTTGCTTAGCACAAATGCATAAGCCCAGAATTTGCTGACAGGTCCATTGTAAAAACTCTGGTCACAAACTGACTGCTTCAGGCCTTTGGTCATCAGAATGTACACCATATAAGCACCAGTTCGAAGAGCACCGAATATACTTCATAATGAAAAGAGAAAAGAAACAACATTCAGGAAAAAAATTTCATTTCTGACATTACCCATACTTAGAAGACTGTCTGCCACTGATGGGAAAGAGATATACAGATGATTCATATTCATTTGCATTGATCCAGAAGCATCATCAAATGTTTTGTAAACAAGAGCAACAAAACTTCTCAGTGCTTTATTCTGAAGACCATCCATACACGGTGCTCCTTGTCCCCATCGATGTACCAAAAAGGGGTCAGGGCAAAGCAGAATGGATTCAGGGCAGGATCGAATGAAGAAGTTAGTGACCTTTATGCTTCAGCTTGAGAACTCTCCCTTAGGGATGAGATGGGATTGGCTGAAAACTCTTGGAACGATCTCAAGTCTGTCCTATGTCTAATCATTTTCGAAGCATCCCCCACCCCCTGCCCTGCTTCCAGCTTGATTGCCTGAATACCTGTTTGTTTTTCTCAGCCAACTCTTCCTTTACATTTGGACTGGCCTTATCAGCGTAGACCTCCTCAGCTACCTATCCTTTTGGACCCCTGCAGGAGCCTCTAAACCACAACCATCATCGGTTCCCCCCTTATACTCTCTGATCCATCTCTCTCCCAGAAGCCAGCAGGAGAAGCTAGCTCTCCACTCAAGTTCACTCCTCCTACTAGTGTAACCACATACCAACACTGTTCGAACCCTGTTCTTCCAAGTCCCATCTCGTGTTTGCCTCCACACAGGCAAGGTACTCAAAGATAGTTGAAAAGTAAACTGACTTATGGCTTTTTTTTATCAAGGAACTGCCAAGGAAACAAGAGAGCTCAGAAATGTGTTGAGCTCAATAATGCAACCTGGAGTGTGAGAGAGCTTTGCAGCTGGAACAAGCAGTCTCCATTCCGGAGTGATCCCCTAGGCATATGTCCTAGAGCACGCAGACCACGCTCATGACTGGAAACAAAGTTGGCTGACCGCGTGGGGAGCCGTCCTTGGCCATCCTTCTTCTGGCAGCATCCCTTCAAGGGTCTAAGTCAGTTAGGAGATTAACCAGTAAACAGCTGTTGCATAGAGTAAACAGCCTCACCAAATTGGGACCAGGAGTTTTAGTCTCTCTTCAGAGGCATTATTGTTTATTTAACATTTCTTAAGAGTTGCTTCAGAATAAGTCATTTAGGGACACCTGGGGTGGTTCAGCCCAGGGTGTGATCCTGATCCTGGAGACCAGGGGATCGAGTCCCACATCGGGCTCCCTGCATGGGGCCTGCTTCTCCCTCTGCCTGTGTCTCTGCCTCTCTCTCTGTGTGTCTCTCACGAATAAATAAATAACATCTTAAAAAAAAAAAAGTCATTTACTAAGGCCATGGGGTCCACACACATGCATCCACCAACCAGAACTAAAGATCAATGTTCCATAAAACCAAGGTAATAAAGTTGCATTCCTGGCAACTGTTTATTAAGTTGGGACTTTGTAAGTAGTTTCTCAAGTGATGCACAGCCTACATTAAATGGAGTTACTCTTTCCAACATATAAAATGATCCTGCATAGGATTTTTGGTGTCACTTTACAGTTGTAGATCCTATTTAATCCTTTAGTAGCTTCCTGATGCCTACAGAATAAGAACCGCCCCCCCCCAACTCCTTAATAGGACCTACAAAGTTCTGAATGGCTTCTCTGTCCTCAGTCTCCACCCTTCGCACCTGCTATTCTCTTTCTGCTCAGTGCAAGCCAATCATTCTAGCACCTTCTTATTCTTATCCGTTCTGTTTCCTGCCTTAGGAACTCTGCATATATGTCCTCCCAGGGAGCTTTTCTCCCTGTTCACCCCAAGGCTGTTCCTTCTCACTTTATCTCAAAGAAATGTCCCCTCCTAGTGGAATGACCTGTGTCTTTATAGTCAATAAACTGCCCTAATAAAGAGCGGAGAACTGGATTTCATTGGTAAAGTCAGGTAATGGAGATTTTTTTGTCTTACTGGAATTATTTTTTTATGTGTTGTCTATCTTGTCCGATGATGGCTAAATTGTAATATGAAAAGTTGCCACCATTACCAAGTTAAGGTACTTGGCACATTGGACCCTTTGTGCTGCTATGAAGGTAACATGGAAATATGGATGTGGCATCTCCACTGAGCATATGTAGCAGACCCTGTTGATTAGGCCTCCAAGAGCCAAGTCCTTCCTCTGTCTCCATTTTAAAAGAATTCTGATTTTGTCCAGTTTCTCTCAATTCATAATTCTCCTAAGGAAGGTGACATTATCTTCAATTTAGGAGTAAATACTAATTACTTCAGCAAGTTATAGTAATCCTATTTCCCTTGCCAGTGATGTGTTAGGGGTGGGCACTGACCCCCTTCTGGCCAACGTGACATGAGGACTGGGCTGTTGCGCACCTTTGGGGAAGGTTTCCTTGCTCTTTACTATGTATTGCCTGGAACTGAAGCAGCCATCTCCCAACAGGAGGGGGCTACCATGTGGACATAACTAACTCAGAGAGGATGGCAAAGTATTCCTGCAAAATGTGACCGAGCTATGGAGTTAACCAATCTTTCAATGACCCTATTGCAAGGCTTCTTGGTTTTGATAAAACTTTTTTATCGTACAAGCATTTGGGGTTCTGCTTTCAATTACCTGCACTCCAGGAGACGCAACACACAAGATCTGATTTTCAGTAGACCTTTGAACACTAGTTAACATTTTGCGGCTATGCAATGCATCTAAGTCAAAATACTGCTGGTCAGCTACTTACTACTACATAAATTATCTGCTTTCCATAAACCAGTGGGAAGGAAATAAGTCAATGACTTTTGAATAAGCCCAAAGCAGAGAAACACACAAGTGACACAACTTTCAGTATGTATCACTCTCTGCTCATTAGCCCCTGGTCTAGGACTTTTCTGAACCATTAGCATATTGTCTGAAATATGTGATATTATAAATTGTACTTTTACAACAGAGTTATTTTTAGCCATTTTTTTTATTTTGTTGCCTCCAATGTTAGTGGTTCTGATTTCAAAATGACAATTTTCTCATTTTTTCAAAGTAAATAAGTAAAATTCTCAGTAAAAAACCAGAACCACTAAGTAAATTTAATGGTACAGCTCCATACATGGTCAATTATAGTTTTATATTTTCAGGAAAGTGGAAGGGGAATGTTCTGTTCAGGCGTTAAAGATTGGGGTGTCGCTTTTGTTTTTTGTTTTCTTCATTCTGTGAACTAGCTAATTGTAAGGAAATAGTGTAAAAACTCATCTTCATTAGTAACCAATTTATCAATAAATCACATCCATCACTGTTGTTGAATGATGTTCAAAGACTGAAATGGATAAGAAAATCTCTTCACTAAAGGAGCAGAGTTTAAGCTCAAAAACAAAACAAAACAAACAAAGAACACCCAGAGCTAACGCCAGCCCACTGTACACAGCAGGTAGAGCCTCTCCTCTACTGTGTTTTGCTGCTAGACTCTGTGCTTTACACATGATCAGAGTAGACAATGCCTCTGGAATAGTCACTGTCCTTTAATCTTCTTGAGTCTCAAAAATTGTTGCAGTTTATACCCGATTTCTCTCTCTTTTTTTTTTTAAGATTTTATTTATTCATGAGAGAGACACAGAGAGGCAGAGGCATAAGCAGAAGGAGAAGCAGGCTCCATGCAGGGAGCCTGATGCAGGACTTGATCCCAGATCCCGGGATCACGCCCTGAGTCGAAGGCAGACGCTCAGCCTCTGAGCCACCCAGGCGTCCCTACACCCGATTTCTTAAGTATTGGCACAGTTTAATTTATTCTTTCAACTGTTACATATTTATTGGCAATGTCCCCAGTGCCAGGGTGATAAGAATCAATAAGCTTACTCTGGCTGGTGGTGGTGGTGGTACTGGAAGACTTCAGATGAAGTGGTATTTGACTTCGAGAGAAATAGGTGTTTGAAGTTTGGAGGTCAGGGTACAAGGAGGTCATCAGAGCACCGCAGAATTCAAAATTTAGATATGATGTTGCCACAATATTGCTGGCAACAAATGTATAGCACATATTATTGTCCCATATCTGGACATAAGCCTCACTCCCTAAGCTCTGAACAATAAGGCCGACTCAGAACAGAGGACAGTGCATTTTTCAGGGAAACCGTCAGTGCCAGCCATCGGGCCTATGTGTCTGTGGGCAAAGGCGCTTTGTTGTGATGCGACAATGCTCCTGCCGGGGAGTCGTCAGGGAGCTACTTAGCCAAAGGGATGATTGTCATCTGTGAGAAGCCAGTAGCTCTGCCCCTGGTACATCTCTGTCATGGTATACTTTGGAACCATGTAGCTTCTTATTCTAACTAGGCACGGGCCGTTAGGCTATGATACTTTACCAAAATATACTTTAGGTCAGGAGACATTTCCTTCTTAAGTTACATCATCTTTTTTTCTTTAATTAATTCATTTATTTAAGTGATCTCAACACCAATGTGGGGCTCATGACCCTGAGATCAAGAGTTGCATGCTCTACCAACTGAGCCAGCCAGACGCCCCTGAAGTTACATCATCTTGAGAGACAGTGTTATGTAAAAGGCAAATATGCAGCTTATGTTTTGCTACTCGCAGTCTTGTCCTTGCTTATACTCGTGGCAGATATTTCTGATCAATCTTGACACTCTTTCTGGCCATGCCTGGACTGGGCACCAACACTCTCAACCACTCTGAACCATTCTGACAAATGAGGGCTGCAAATTCTAGTCACACAGTGCTCTCACTTGCTCATTTTATGACTGAGCAAACTAACTTCTGTAAGTCTTTATTCATCTGAAATGTTAATAGTGTCTAATGTGCATAGCAGTTCTATGAATCTTGTAGGACAATATAAGTAAGGTCTTTAGTTAGCATAGAGCCTCTGATTTCTAGGTGCTGAATAAAACGGTTTTTATTATATTATTGCTTTATTACTATTTATCATTATTATTAATGCCACTTTACTTGGTCTGTCCTTCAATTTGGAAAGCACTTTTACCTGTCTAATCTCACTGTGTTAGGTGAGAGAGGTCA